TGAGGTAATTTAAATAATATTTTGAAAGATTAAAATTGTTAATTTTGATTTCATTAAATTTAAATAATAATTAAAAGAAGATTTAATTTAATAGAGAAATTCAATTTTAAATACATAATATTTTAAAATATCCAAATAATGTATTTAAAAATACATGTATTTGAAATTCATTTTTTTTAATTCAATCCAAACAATGTATTTCAAAATACATGTATTTTAAATACACGTATTTCAATTACACTCATCAAATTCAAATTTAAGTTCCCAAATACAACCTAATTGATTTTGATAAAACTCAAAAACCTAAGTGCTTTGGTTCCCATCCAAGCAGTCCACCCCCTCGCCCTTGTCTGCGTCCACAACATCACCTCCAATCACCACCTTGTCCCTAGCAACCGCCACATCCCCAGGGCCACCCCTCCCCACAACACACTTTCCAGATGCCTTCGGCTCCGAAACACCGCCAACCACAACCTCGTCAAACCCATCAAGAAGCCGAGGCATTATGCTGATCAAAGCATCTCCCTTGGCGTTGTAGGGACTAGGATCTTCTAGGCAGCCAAGTTCTTCATCATCATCATCATCGGCGTCGAAGAGCTTGGCTTCACGGCAGAGGCAACTTTGGCATCTCCCTTGGCATTATAGGGACTTTGGGGTGCGCAACAAACTTTTTGTCCATTCTCCAAAGAGAGCAAAGAAAAAAAAAATTACAGGATCTCTCTCAAGTAGCTCTCTCTTCCTCACTAATTCTACAATTAACTCTGTGTTTTTTTTCGATTTCATGTTCTTCTTGTTTAAGCTAACTAGGTATGGCGATCTATGATTTGGCGCGTTGTTGTCTTAGGGTTTAGGTCATGATGTCGAAGCGGATCTTGAAGGAGCTCAAGGATCTCCAGAAAGATCCTCCAACCTCTTGCAGTGCAGGTTCAATTCAATTTCAATCACTCTTTTATGTTCGATTTTGCGTTTACGCCTGCTGGATTCATTGCTCTGTTTTTTTTTTTCCTCTCTCTCTCTCTTTCTTTCAAGTATTAGTGTGGCGATTTGTTTGTGTTTGAATTTTATGAGAAAATAGTCTTTAATTTCATTCATAACGAGTTTTTGAATACTTTAATGTCGATGGTGATGTATTGGAGGAGTGCTAAGCTTTAAGCAGGACGAGCTTTTGGTTCCTTCTTTTCAATTGAAGGCTGAGACCTGAGAGTCAATGGAAAATGATGTTTCTTCTCAATTTTCGTTTCTTTTTGAGGTTTCTTATAGTGATTATGAGCTAAGTCAAGTTATTTTAGAAAATTAGGAGTTAAATTAACTCCGAGATTTTGATTTTTTTTTTATTATTATTTTGAGACGAGGAAGAAGTTATACTTCCAATTGTAAATTTCTATTGTTTTGTTATTTTCCTGGACAAGTTTAGAGTTTCTGGTTGGTGATTATTTTTAGATTCTTGGTTTAGGACTATTAGATTTCAGTTTTGTTGAGGATTCTATTTGAAATCTCTACTTCTTCCCAAAATTTGTAGAATCTAGCACAAAGGTAAGTTCAAACTCTCCCCTTCTTCCCCACAATTGGCACAATCTCTATAAATTTCAGTTGTATATTACAGAGCTTATAAATTTGTTGGTTGTGGACTTCTTTTATCTTTTAGTTATTGAGATTAGGGTTTGTGGTTTTATTTTTTATTCCACTTTTAAGTATATTCCTGTTGTTTTTTAGCATGCATCTATGTTGGATAGAGTATGGATTTTTCCAATGTTTGGATGATTGGTAAATTGGTAGACCAGGATAATTTTTTTCCTCTTTTGCTTTACAAGGTTGGTAGTGCTTAGCTATTGCAAGGTTTGAAAAATTGAATATGATATGTAGACAGCTAGATATATCTACGATTGCTGGACTTTCAGTAACTTTAGATATGAAATGCACACACCTAGAAGTTGTCTGTCAGTCTTTGATAGAGTTTGGATGATCAATCTCTGTTTCTTGTTCATGGAGCTTTACCTTGCTTTGATTTTGCTATATATTATCCCTACCTTTAATGGCAGACAGAAAAAGAAAAAAAAAAAGCTTTTAATTACTTGCAAAGTTTATAATTGGTTATTCTTTCCTTTCTTCTGTTTAGTTTATACCCCAAAACAATTGGTAGAGAAATACAGCAACATCACGTTTCTTCTTTACTGTTTGATTTTGATATTAATTGTTACATTACATCACTCCCTTTATAGGTGAGAGCTGTGGAACCCCTTACATTTTTTTGTTGTAATGTAATATTGAATTGCCATTATTTTAGCCATTCTAAAATAAACTGAGAAGCCTTTGCATCTAGATGTGTAGGAGAGGAGAACTTTTGCTTGCTCTTTCTGGACAAGATCTTAGACCCTATTGGCACATGCTGCTACCTTTTTCCTATGCTGTTGTTTCAGGTGCTATGGGATCATGCTCGGTATTATTTGCAAAATCTCTGTAAGTTAGCAATGTTAAATATTTTCATTGCCCTTTCTCAAGTAACTCGGACAATTAGTCTGTAGTCTGATGTCAAGTCTCTTGCTTTTCTAGCTCTAACCTTCTAAGGTTGGCACTGTCTAATGGTTATCAGTTGCACAGCTAGTTCACATACTCCATGCTGCTTTTGTTTCCCAGTACTGCTGGATTTTGGGTAAAAATTATGCCAAACTTATTTTATTTTTTTGTAATGAAGATGGCTTTAAAGTTTTTATTAAATTTTAATTATTTTTGAGCTATCCCACTCCAGATGGCGAGGTTGAATGAAGGCCTGTCACTTTTTGATGCAATCCTTATTATTCCCATGTTTCAAATTGCTTTTGTGACTTATTATTATGAAATATGCTGGAAGTGTAATGGAAATAGGGTTTTTGTTTCAGTTATATTCTCCTGTCCAAGGTGATATTATGGTGTTGTGTATTCACCATGTTTCTTGTTTCATTTCAAATTTGATATGCCAGTTAGCATTTGAGATTAGCATTCTCTATTTTGACTTTTCAATTCTTATTTATTCTTTTGTAAGCCCTCTTGAATGTCGTATTGATGGCATCGCAGCTTCTCCTTTGACGTGTCTGAAGGATCATCCAAGAAAGGGTGAAAAACTCACCTTGTCACCAAGTGGTACATTGGCTGCGATAACTGATTCACTTGGTCGTATATTGCTCTTAGACACTCAAGCACTTGTAGTGGTGCGACTGTGGAAGGTTTGTTAAGTCCCATTCATTTTGAGTATCTTCAAAAGCTGCATCCCTCATTTCTAAATAATGGATTTCAGGGGTATCGTGATGCAAGCTGCTTGTTCATGGAGTTGCTAGTCAACAGAGATCAACCAGGGTCAAGTTCCTTTTACTATGAACCCACAAAGAGTGACTATTGCCTTTGTCTGGCAATTCATGCACCTCGTAAGGGAATTGTTGAGGTATGTTACATCTTTAAGGTATCCTTAGATTGGAGATGGAAGTTGACTGAACCTGAAATCATTTTTCTTTTAGCTGTAGACTGTAATCTACAGATGCTGTCTTATTTCCATTAAGGAATATCTCTTTCTGGCAATATAATCTATTTCAAAATCTTTTATCAGGAGATGCTTTCAACTTTTTGTTTCCATATTGTTAATAAGCATGATTGATTTTTGCTGTACGGTTACAACTTTTGCTTTGGTGGAGAAAATACATTTTATTTTTTGGCCCTTGATTTTGTTTAGGTTTGGGTAACCCATGATTTGGTTACCTACAATATTTTTGGGTTTTGTGCTTGCTATGGAAGTTCCAACCAATGCTCTATTCTGCATGGCTGAATTCCTGACCATTTTTGTTGAACACATCAAATGCAGGTTTGGCAGATGAGAACTGGACCACGTCTTTTAACCATTCAGTGTGCTAAAGGTAGCAGATTGCTACAACCTAGCTACAGGTTTGGATCATCATTAGGCTCTCCTTATGTTCCCTTGGAAGCTTTTTTGTTAAATGGAGACTCTGGTCAGTTGTCAGTGTTGAATCGATTTCTTAATTGAATTAATGAAGTTTGTTCCTTCTTTGTTCAATACCAATTTACTTTTATCTCTATCATTGTCTGTTCCCTTGCTTTTTAACAGCTTAGATTGAGAAAAGATGATTTTAAGCTGTGCATTATTTCATAAAAGTCGACACATTTTGGAGAACATGTTAGAATATTGGCATACCTCCTTTTTTGTTATGGTGGTTAGGTGGCATCTTGGCCACTGCTCACCTTTCTATTCTGTAGTCCAGTCTAAGATAGACCATCCAAGTTGAACTAGGGGTTCCGTGAGGAATTATCTACTCATCAATTCCCCAGTGAATCAAATCTTGGTTATCAAGGTGGACCAACTATTCTTAGTATTCTAGTTATGTATCTGTTTGGTTACTTTTCTTACTGACATTGATTTCTCTACACTATATTGTAGCTTTCTATTTACAACTATTTGATTTTTGATGATACCTTTTTATTGGTTTGCTTACAAGCCAATCTTTAGAGCCCTTAGTCGTATATTATAAGATTATTAGCATCTAATAGTTGAAGAAATGATGAAGGAAGCTTTAAGGCCTGTCACTTTTTGGGTTTCTTTGCTTTTGCGAGATTTAAGCACCAGCATAGTTAATAGGAGAAACACAACCCTCTCACAGTTGCCACAATGATCTCATTGTCACACGGTGGGTTTATAAACACCATAATAAACTCTTCTTTCCCTAAAGTTTTTATTTATGTTGCCTGCAAATAGCTATGTGAGCTTGAATAGTTATGAATTTGTTGATCATTTATATTTTTTAACAGATTTGTGAGATTTGTTAGTACATTAGAATTTCTTTAGAGATTTGTGATAGTAGAGCAAGAGATTGAGTAGATTGAGTTTAATTTTAGTCAGATGAAGCTACTGTGACTACAAATGCAGATGGTTTTTTTTTTTTCTTTTTTTCCGGGGTCTATACCAACGGATTATCCATTTGTAAAGGTGAAAGTTTATACCCACGACAAATTTTTTTTAAAATTTCTTAGGGTCTATACCAACAGAAAGGTTTTCTGTGAGAATAGTCCCAAAGGTCTATACAAACGGATTAGGCGTTGGTATAGACCCTATACTGACGAGGTTTCTACCAACTGAAAGTTCTTCCGTTGGAATAGTCCCTGGGGGTCTATACCAACGGAAAATGGGTCTATACAATCGGAAAACTTCCGTCAGTATAAGGTACATCTCCTTGTAGTGGAAAGTAGTTGAAAAAATATTACATAAAAAGTTAAAAAGTATTGTACAAAAAATTACTAAGTTTCTATAACAAGGTTTTGTTGGAATTTTCTTTGGGTTATTAATTTTGTTATATTTAAGTAAGAAATTGATATAGAGAAACTTTAGGGGAGGAAAGTTATTAAATGGGTCTAATATAAAAAAGTTATAAGGAAGTTTTTTTCTTTAAAAATATGAATGAAGGAAACTTTATAAGTTGATAATTGTGTTAAAAAAAATAAAGATTAAATTTTTTTTTACCTTTATTTATTGTAATTTTGAGGCATGTGAGAATCAAAATATATATCCTTGCAAAATCTTGCAATGAGGCATTTCCTAGAAAAATAAAAGGATTAAAGCCCACTACAGTCCCTCCACTCTCAACTTTCATTCATTGTCCTCCCTATACTTAAAAATTGTTCAAAATCCTACCTCTGCGTTAACTTCCATTACATTTACCTCCCTCCCCTAACACAACCCTAACACCATTTATAACTCCCACTAACAGAGGAATTTTTTAGAGTTAAGTGCAATAATTTTTTTTTTTGGTTGAATTTTGTTTGAGGGCCCACAAAAATCCATATTAACAACCCCCAAAACTCCCTTCTTATTCCCTTTATGAAAATTTGAAAGTCCCTAAATCCCTAAATCAAGCCAACCCATCTGAGCTTCTAGACAAATTTATCCTTAGATATTGGTTTATATACATAAAATGATATTATTTGATGTTTCTTTCATGCTCTTCAAGTTAGAAGAATTCAATGGCAATAGCTCCAATTCTAGACAGTCAGTACAAAGATTCATAATAATAGTGGCAAAAAATTAAAGCAAAAGAAATTGGCAAAGTATGCAATGCAATGTAAAACTAAGGCCACTGACGAGCAAAATTATGACCCCTTTGGCTACATCCATAGAAGTACGTTGAATATTAAGATAGGAAAATTCCTCCATGGTACAATTCACCAAATTTTTCTTTATTATGTAGTCAAGATTTAATTTTAAATCTTATATTAGTGAAAATGTTTTAACAAAATTCATTATAAATGTATCAAGAATTTCTATAATACCTATAATATCTTTTTATGATGTAATAGTTAGAATATTAAATTTTTATATATTAATATTAATTAATTAAATAAATTACTATAAAATTAAAAATGACAATCAAAACTCATTCTCTAAAACTCACTCACTCTCACTACATTTTATATCATTAAAGATGAACATATTTTGTTCAATTCTAAATTAATTGTTTGATAGTTAACCTTTTTTTTTGGTTTGACTAATACAATTAAAAAT